TTCAAAATTTGACAAAACCCTAATTCAAAACTACCTAATTGCACCCCTATCCATTATGGAGTTTGATGTATTTCTAGGTGGTTGGCATAGAAAATTGGTGATTCCTGTTCTTGTCAGGACTTGGGATTGGTAGGAATACAAATGGATTGGATTGGATTCGAATTAGGGTACATCTAAATATGATCTGACATTGTTAAGGGGTGATCCGATCGGATCCTCATAAATATGGATTTGAATTAGAATTGGATGAGACCATCAGATCTTCGGATCTGATCTGATTTGATCCGATCTGATTTAAAAAAATAAATAATTTTTTATAAGCCAAAAAATAAATTATTAAAAAATATTTCTTTAAAAAATAAATAATTTATTGAAAGAAAAATAAAATATAAAAATTTAAATAAAGTAACACAAAAAAATACAAATATCTTTTCAACTGTTTTGATCATATATATATATATATATATATATATATTTTTATAACAAAATAAATAATATAATAAAATTACAAAAATATAATATAAATAAATAAATAAATAACATATATATCGGATCGAATCTTTTCAAAGGATAATCCTATTCTGATCCAATTTCTGATTAGATCCTATTATTCAATCCGATCCGAAGATCCAAACTAGAGAGATTTGAGATTTGAATATATTCGACAAAATAAACTCGGATGTCGGATTGGATCGATCCATTTGCACCCGTACGGATTGGGGAGGGGTGGGGTGCCCTACCCCGTTTCCATTCCTAATTTTTACTAGGCCCAACCTGGTTCAATCTGTTATGTTATCAGGTTTAGGTCAGGTAGGGTCCAACTCTAACTTCCTACCCTAGCTCTTCCAAGTCAAGCACACCAAAGCGACCTCTTGCTTTGCCCCATCTGTCAGGTCAGAGTTCTAAACTGCGACCTTCCTAACATACCTCAGTCAATTGTATCAGGCAATCTAATTCATTAGTTCATCAATGCCCATGTTAATTGCAAAGACAAAATATGTCTCTCTGGTGGTTTGTGTGCCTTGAATTCGAATCAAGGGACCGTTTGAAAGGCTCAGCTGAGGATTCAATTATGTTGGTTTGGCTGGTTTGAAGCACTCTCCGGATAAGTTCAAAGATGTTCAAATGATTTGGGCTGATATTTGAATTTTTCACGAAACATAGGGCTGTCCATATGAGATCCACCTCCGAAAGCCAAAAGCTGCTGCGCATCAGCCCTGTCAAACGGGCACAATGGGCCTATGGCAGAAAATAATGAGTGTTGCTATAAATATTGCAACAAATTTCAAGAATTTCTCAATCATCCTACAAGGTAACTCTCAAATCTCGTTGTCGACTGCCTCAGAAGAAAAGTGAAGTTCCTGTCCAGATTGGAAACCATCATCAAAGAGTGCCTCAGCATCTTTTCTTGTTTCAACTTTCAACTCAAGCATCAACTTTTGCGTATCGTGATGCTCAGATCTTATGCAAATTTCAATTCTTGGGAAAGAATTACCGCCCGTCTTATGTAGTTCCTCAGAGTTTGTATGAGAAAAAAGAATGGAATGAGTCGTAAAGCTTTTATATTAAAATAAAGCTAGCGGAGGGGGCCCTGTCTTGCAGGGGTTCGTTCATAAACTATAAAGTTCGAGCTTGATTCAAATTAGAGACTTGAGCTCGAGCTCGATCTCGACTCGAATCAAAAGCTCGGAAGTTCAATGATTGCAGGTCTCTCAAGCAGCCGAGGTCTCCCTCAATTGCCAAGGTGCCAAATCGAGGTCTCCCTCAACTGTTGAAGTGTCGAGTTGAGATTTTCCTATCAGGCGAGGTGTCGAGCTAAGGTCTCCCTTAGTTGAAAGGTGTCGAGCTGAGGTCTCCCTTAGTTGTCGAGGTGCTGAGCCAAGATTTCCCTCAGTGACCGAGGTGCCGAACCGAGGTCTCCCTTAGTGGTCGATGTGTTGTCTATCTCGAGTTCGATTTGAATTAGAGACTTGAGCTTGAGTTCAGAAGTTCGAGCTCAACTCGGCTCGAACTCGACAACCTTTGATTGTAGGTCCCCTAGCAGCTGAGATGTCAAGCTGAGGTCTCCCTCAGTTGGAGAGAGAGTGGCATTTTTTGTAATTTATAAGGAGAGAGAGAAAGATGGCATGAGAGAGCGAGAGGGCATTATTGTAGTTTGAAAGAAAAAGAGAGAACATGTGTCATTGTTATAATTTGAAAGAAAAAAAAAAGCAAGAGAGAGAGTGAGAATTGGTAGGAGAGAGTGTCATGCTTGTAATTTGAAAGAAAAAAAAAAGCAAAAGAGAGAGTTGGTAGAGAATGGCATTCTTGTCATTTCTATGAAAAAAAGGCAAAAAATACTGTTAGATTCCATTTCCCTCATCCTAGGCCTTCTTACGTACACATTTCAACTTAATATATTTATATAGATAGTATCCATGATATTCAAATGGGAATTGGATTCAAATATTGAATAACATCAATATATTAAATCAAGAATAATCCAAATAATATTTTATTAATAAAATGCACTATATTATGTGTCATGAATAAAATGACTTGTCAATAACTTAGAAGAAACTTGAATCAATGACTCTTTTGACATGGCATTTCAATCAATCAATAAATCAATTATTATTATAATTATTGTTATTATTATTATTATTATTATTATTATTATTATTATTATTATTATTATTATTATTATTATTATTATTATTATTATTATTGCTGTTGTTGTTGTTGTTGTTATTATATTTAAAAATGAAATTAGATTGATTGAATTGATTTGGGTCCAAATTCAATCCAATTATGAACAGATAAACTTGAATTTAAATTTGAACAAATGGACCAATGTTTTAAAAATCAACCCAAACTAGAACTAGAACACTTTGGTAACTGGGTTTTGATGGATTAGCCCATAACAATTTAAAAATTTTAAAAATAATTAAGATAAAAATGGCCAAAAAATCATTGTTCAGGTGGAATAGGTCAATGGGTTGACTGCCCAGATCAAAAACTCACTAGCCAAGTGATGTTGTTCAACTCGAGGTGTTTCGAATCAAGATTGCAGTCAGATAGTCCTACCAATTAGTGAAGCCGAGGTAGAAGGGCGAAGCCGCGCACCAAGATCTGAAATCAAGAAAAAAAGGATCAGAGGCCCGAGTAGTTGTTTCCCGAGTAGACACTCTAACTCTCAAGTCAGTGGTGTGAAAGGTAGGTGGTCAGGGCGAACAGTTGATAATAATGCTGGTCTGAGCAGAAGAGGCAAAGTTGCAGTATGAAGAGTCAAAAGTCCCTTACCTGCGCGAAGGTTACCTATTTATAGCCGAAGATCCATGTCCAACTCGATTGAGGCTTCCAGGATTGTCAAGATGAAGTTATCCACCGAAGCCTTTGGGATAAGTTCGTATCCCTAGCCCAAGTTTTCTAATGCTGTATCTATCATCTTCTGTTTTTTCTTTTTCTTTTTCTTTTTCTTTTTTCTTTTTTTTTTATGGGTGTGTCGTATATATCTTTCATATTTACAAATGTTCTTGGATCATTGATAGGATATGCCATGACAATTAAGAGCTTAGCCAGTTTTTTTATTGGACTCGTTTCATCGTTTGTCACTTGGGACTTTGTCTATTACCAATGCAATTTCATTTTATTAATGTCAGAATTTGAAAGAAAATAATAAGAACTTTCATTCATTTTTGCTTTAGGTTTCATTTTTTGGAAAGTCGCAAAAAATGTATGACTTTGATTCATTTTGCCAACTGAGGTTAATGTGAAATACTTTTTACTACATATTCACTCATATGTTCAGTTTGGGAAGAGGACAAATATAAATATGAACACTATAAATACATATGAAAAAATCCAAAATACAAAGTATTGCATTCTACATATTTGTACTCCTTCGAAATTGAGACTAAGGGCACAAACCCCACTTTGTGTTATTTCAACATTTTATCAATCAAAAATAAAATAAAAATGAAACTTAGCTTTTCAGAATTATATTTTGCCAAAACTCAAATACAATAAAATAAAATAAAGAAAAAATAGAAAATATTTTGGGTTTAAAAGAATATAAAAATAAACAAAATAAAGCCAAACGCTACTTCACATATGATGAAGTTTTAAAAACCAAGGTCAAACAGTCTGATTATCCGGTTCAAACGATAATCCATTCTGATTTAAAAAATAATTAAAATAAAAAATGGCCAAAAAATTGTCTGGATCAATGAATTGCTGACCAAATCAACCGTTTTGACCCAAAAACGATTTTAAGGTGAAACGAAACCAATTGCCCGATCAGTTTTGAAGTCACCCGGTCTGACCGTCCAGTCCGGTCTGATTTTCAAAGCCATGCTAAAAACTAATTTACATTGAATAGAATTGATTGGACAGAACTTGAAAAAAAGTAAACCCAGTGGATATGCATTGGGGAGAGTTTTGATCCACATGCTTCATGTAACTGATAATTTAGAAGTGCTTCCTTTAGTTTTACTTCATCTACACACAAGCAGGATAGTCTGAAACTGAAAAATAAAGGTAAAAATCAGAATTTGCACTGCAACAAACAATACGTAGCCCGTTACACACAGCTGTGCGAGCAGCAGATCCGGAGTATACTCGGAAGTCGGAGCCGAGCTAAACTTTAACGTTGCGTCCTAATCACATCATGTTGACTAGACGGTTGGGATTTACAGATCAATAAACCAGTGAGATCGGCTTCAGTCAGTGCAAGGCCCGTGGCGGCGTACACGTGTACGGTGATGCCTTATGTTCTCTCAAGCAGAATGCTTGCATGGAGAATCAAGCGGCAGTGAGCGATAGAAAGGCATCTGAGAAGAGAAGCAGTTCCCGAGATTCGATGTCATCGGGAAACACGATATCACGTCGATCCGAGCTCTCCATTTATTTTTATTAATTTAAATTTTATAATCTCGTAAATCTCAGTACAGCAAAGCCAGTATCTTTCTTTTATTTACCTTTGTTTTGGCAGGCAGCAACGACAGTTCTGAGACGCCATAAAGATCCAAGAAGAAAAACTAAAGGAACTCTCTCTCGGAGTCTCAGTCTCAGTGAGAGAGAAAGAATGCTTGCTTAAAATAAGCAGAAGCTCTTATACAATAAGCTCCAGATCACATCAAAGTCTCTCTCTCTTTCTCTCTCTCTCTAGAAGAGAACTCTCAACAACTTCACCAATGGAGATAATAAGGTGTTGCTGTTGAATCTCTTTCAATAGGTTTTAGATCAGCGGCGTGAATCGGACTCCCGGACGAAGCTCGAAGATGCTGTAAATCCAATTCTTTCTCGGCCTGTAAGGCTATAAGGTGAGGTTTTTGTTCCATTTATCTTCTTATTGTTTTTGTTCATTTCTTTCCTCGGAGAAACTACGATCTTTTGCTGCTTGTTCTTCGTTTCTGCTTCAAATGTAACCGAAGGTTTGAAGCATTTCTCTGGCTGAAAAGCTAAAATGTTTTATCTTATGTACATGTATAGACTTTTCAGCATTCGGATACCATTAAATTCGAATCTGACGGTTCTTGAACTGCCTCAACGCAAGTAAAGTTCAGTTACTCTGTTACTGATTTTGTGGGTGACTGGGTATACAGCGTGCTATATTTATATCAGTATTTGTGAATTGAATTGCCTTCAAAAAGACGAAAATATCCATGTCCATGGGAAGAATCGTCCAACAGAAGATGCCTTGAATTAGTTGTCCTTCCTGATTTCAGAGTCCCTCCCACACTCTCAAGTCTCAACTTTCAGTCGGACAATCACACGGGCTCTGAAGCCTGAACAGACTAAATGCCTCTGTCTGTAGTCTGTACTGTGAAGGGGGGTAATTTTGGTCAAAACAGGCAGTTAAAATGTACTGACTTGGTCGTATCTTAATATACCTATATATGACCTAAATGCTCCTAATACTTATTGGTATAAAATTACGAAAACAGTCTTCTGCTTATTAGAAGGCTTTAATTAGTGGCGTTAATTATGGTATTAATAGTGCCAGGCTTTTTGAGCTTCTTTTTTCTTGGAAACCAATACGTACTCCACTACTGTTACTGTACAATCTGCAGGAAAGAAATTTGGAAAAGAAAAATCCTTGCTTTTCAATGATAATCTGGGACCGATCCCATTCTAAAAGCTCTTTCGTTCAGATTTGGGCTTTGTTTTTTTTTTCTTTTTGGTAAAAGGCTTTGGTTTAAAATGGCCCAAGCCTACTCCCTACCAAGGTCCACCCAGTGTGTACTGTGTAGTGAGTGAGATTCTGTACGTCTGTACCCATTCTAAATGAAATGCTATTGGCTATACTGGTGTAGGGTGTGCCCCTAAAATCACAAAAAAGGACAAAAGCTAATTGCAGGCAGGGTAGAGAGCTATTGTGCAACTACGGGAGTAGAGCCATCATTGATCAAAAGAATAGCTTGCTCACTTACATCTTTTATCGTTTCCCAAAACCTGGATATTAAGATTTAAGACCAGCTATTTGGTCAAAAGTATAATAATAAATGAGGTCAATAAAAGCGTACTTAGTACTTACTAACCTGAGTTAATAGTTTTCCGAGTAAAAGCAACGGTCAATAAATCTGAGATGGGTTCTTTAGAAAGGGAAATCCATTGCCGACGAAGGAGAAAGGATAGCCTGACAAGGTTCGGAATTGGAGGTTGGGACTTGGGACTTGGGAGACTTGAGACAACAAGGGATGAAGGGACTCACGACAAAACCGAATTAGGTACAGACATGGAAGACCATTTTAATTACAAAACTGCCACAGAAGGGAAGGAGATCTTCTTAAGAAGTCTTTAACTATTGAGCTTCTTGGATTCATAAACCATAAATGATAAATCTACTTCTAAAACAGGCAGCAAGCGAGTTAATGGGTTTACTTCTTAGGCTCAGTTTGGAAAGAGTATAAATGCAAATATATACAAAATAATATAAAATATAATGTCTTGTAATCTACATATTTGCATTTGTACCCTTTCCAAACTGAGCCTTAATTTCATAAAAACATCAAATTACCGAAGGAGCATAATGGGCGTCTCTTGGGTCGGCGATTTCATCCCTCGACGGTAAGTTTTATTATTCATTGCATCAGATAAAGAACAAAAAAGTTAAGACAGACCAGAATGAATAATATGGATGCTTTCTACTTTCCATTGCAATAATCGTTTTTCTCCATATTGTGATTTGTGATAGGCAAATAGGCCACAGAGCAGGGATGGCCGTCCCCCAATCCCCAAACGCCCCTGGAGAAGACGGGTTTTGATCCCAAGTCTCAGCTTCCACCAGCCAACGACCTTTCCAAATACCAGCAAAGCTAACTGCCACCTTCCAGCGACATTCGTTTAAGGACAAATATTAAAAGCTTTTGTTAAGCCCAAAAAAGGAAAAAAAAAGAAACACTTTTTTGCAGCAATTTTTTTTGCAAATATGGAAGGTTTATGCTAGCTAGTTGCCAAAAATAGGGAGATATCAGTAATTTCCCTAAATTGAAACAAACTCTTAAATGCACGAATGCCCAAACATCACTTGGGAAAAAGGAACGAAGGAAAGTAAGAAAAGATAAATGCATGAACAGATACATTATTCTCTACGTAGAATCCAATCCTTGTTTCAACATTTCTCCTTCAGAGATCTAGAGATAGGTAGACATGTATATAGATGGATTGATAGATACAAAGAGATTAGAGGGGTCTCATTGTTGTTAATTCTATTTTTTTTTTGCAGATTTCGTGCTAATTAAAGGAGTGAGGGGATCAAATGGACGAAAATGCCTCACGTATCACTATCAGCAGGGCCAAAGAAGGCAAGAAGAAAGGCTTGACGAGGAGGAATCGATTTCCAGTTCCAGCGGATGATGTCGGAGATCTGCAGGTCAAATGTTCCGGCAAGTACTGCCGATCGTGCATAGCGAGCTTCCTGGCGGACTGCATCGCCGTCTGTTGCTGCCCTTGTGCGGTCGTAAACCTTCTTGCCCTTGCGTTCGTGAAGGTACCATGGATGGTGGGCAAGAGATGTTCGAGATTACTGAAAAAGAAGCGTCCTAGGCTAGAAATGGAGGGAACAAAAAGAAAAGAAACGACCAGCGTGATAGCGAGAAATGTAGATTTGAGAAAAGAGCGGGTAGCGGAAGGAACACCATTTGAATCCCCAGCTGGATTGGAAGAGGATAAGCGAAAGGACAACTGTGAGAGATCTGAAGCTGAGAGGGTTTGGTTGGAGTTGTATCAGGTGGGTCATTTGGATTTTGGTAGAGTCTCTTTCTCTGGAATTCAAGGAAAGAGCAACTAATAAATTATATTCTTAGAAAAAAATAATTGTTATTGAATATTATTTTGTTCGAAAAGGTTTTCACCTCTAAAATTTCTCTGCAAACAACAGCTCCACATTCAGTCTCTGAATGTGCATTTTATTTATTTATTTGAACAGAGCTGTCAATCACCCCTCCTCTCGGTTAACAAACTAAAACATAAGTGAAGAATGAAAAACAGTAGGACTAGTCATAACTCATAATCGTTGCTAGTGGAGTGGGACGGAGGGGTCTAGTCGGGCCACTCTTGTGATAATTATTATTATTTTCCTTTGATAACCCTGAGGGAGATTATTATATATGTTCAAATAGTGACGCTATAAGAATCAATCTAGTGACCGTAAGAATCAACAGTCTTTATATCATTCGCTATGGCCTATCTGTGCGACCTCATTTGATCATCATTCCAGCTTGTTTTTCCTACCAAATACAGACAAATCATTAAATACTAACTATACCATTAAACTATTACTAGCGTTCAAATCCTCTATGGGAACTTAGAGGATACTGGGCCAATCATCAGACACACCCCACATTAGTCGGGTTTTCGTGGAATAATTAATGGCCCAGTATTACAACTGTTGTGCATGTGGTAATATCTGATTTGTTTGAGATAATTGATGAAAAATCCTTTTTAAGTAAATTGCGAATTGATCACAATGGGAAAAAAACTCGATTGGAAGCCCCTAACCATCTGTAGTTGGTTAATTTATTCAGTCAAATTGATTTTTTGGTGTAAAAGATTTTAACAATATGGAACACATAACATTATAACTTATTAAGAGAGTGTTTAGTACTATTGGAGTTTTTTATGACTTTTAAAATTGTTTAAATGGTATTAAATTATGTGTACATTTCTTATTATTCAAGTGTCACATAAACAAAAAGGTAAAAAACAGTGGTATCATTATAAAAAAACACCAAAATAATGTTTCTTGCAATACTAGATTCCACATAAACTGAGATGTTTAAAGTAGTAATTTATTTTTATAAACTCTTCAACCAAACAGAAAAAAATAAGTGATGAAACAACCATATACTTTTTTGGCGTTGATTTGACGTATTTATAAAATAAATGCCCACGGTTCCAATTAAAAAGTACATAAAGATTTTATGTTATCACTCAAGTATAGTATAGTAGCCAAAATGGTACCTAATTCATGCCCATAAATTTACATGATATTACTAGTGACCCAGACTAAAAGCAGATCATTGGATTTAAAGAAATGGAGCTCATGTATGTGTTTTAATTTATTAGAAGATAAAGGGTTTTTCTAAGACGGTTGTTAAAGACAATGTGATCTCCATGGCTTTCAACATATATATATTATTCTCTTAAACTATTAAGGAGTGTTTTCTCCACATGATTTTTTTTTTTAATTTCTCAAAACAAAAACAAGTGCCACTATATTGACAAATGACCCCCCTAACATAGGAGTGCCAATGGAATGGGATTGGGGTAGGGACCATATTCTCCGTTCTCAATCTTGACTTTGAAACAAATCTCCATCTTTGACTCCAGTCTTCACCCAAGACTGGAGTTGAGTTGACTTTGAAACAAACCTTAACATAGAGTTGAGTTTCCCACAAAATCTTTTAATTAAAAGTAATTTTTAGAAAATAAATTTACTTAAAATAAATGGAATTATTTAAAATATATTTTGATATATCTATAATATAAATAAAATTACATGTATAATATAATATATATTTAATATTTATAATTGGGGTCGAGATGGGGTGCAAACTTCAATCTCTATCTTCGACCCCATAAGGTTGGGGAGGCTAGATATTCAGCGGGGATGGGGAAAATTGCTATCCCTAGTTAGAAAAACCTAGGGTCCATTTGGTTCGTAGTCAGAATTGGAATCGAAAGCCTCTAGAATCAGAATCGGAATGGTTCATTCCCATAGTCTGTTTGGTTCAGACAGGAATGGGAATAGGAATTAGAATCAGCAGGAATGGGATTTCATTCCCAAGGGAGGGGCAGGGAATAACCATTCCCTCGAATGGGGGAATGCTATTCCAACAGGAATGAGAATGGAATTCTGATTCTGCCGAATCAAACAGTTGGAATCGGAATAGCTCATTCTAATTCCGATTCCAAATCCCTATTCCTGCAAACCAAACGGACCCCTAATTTAGACTCAAGCCTTGTTCATTTTTTCAAAGACCTACTTTTCTAAGTAAGCACAGTCACCCATGTTCTTTTTTATTTAATTTGGAAAATGCATCTAGTGAAGATGCTTTTGACCATTTTAATTTCTTTTTCATTTTGGGAAAGTCAACTTACCCAAGTGTGAAAAGGGTAGCACTTACCCAGATAAGTCATACCTGAAAAAATCAATTTTGTCATGAAAATCACTATCCCATTGATCAACTTCCCCTCATTTTTCTGACAATCACCTAGTATAGGTCAGAATTAACATTTCAATACACCTTTACCGGTTGCAGACTTGTAGCATAGAGATAAAATCAGTCGCGGCATTGGACATGGCCTCGGGCTCAAATCATGAAATCACGGCTTTGGATGTATTAAATGTTTTTTATTTGTATGTAGGGATGCATTTCGGGTTGGACCGAGTTAGCATTTTACACGAAGGCCCAATCCATTCAAATTAAAAAAAGACACAAAAAACCAATCTGAGACTGTCCAAGCTGCATTCCTAAATGTATGGCCCCACATTAGCATCACGTTATCAAGGTAGGGCCATGATAATACATCAAGGGCTATGATTTATGGTTTTATCCCAAGTCTTGTCATAGCTGGTTTTTGGCATGCAATATATACTCTCATAGCAAGCTAATGGCTTCATATGTGAAGCCTGCTAAACGGTGCATTCTTAGTATATGTTTGGCATCGATGATGTAGATGTAGCACTGTTTTCTCAAAAAGTAGTGTTTATTTTTTGTTTGAAATTGTTATTGTTAGGTAAGACGTTTCATGGAGCAAGACCAATTTTTTTTGTTTGGTACCAATGTTATAGGAAACATTTTCAGCACTGTTACCTATTATTCAGTGCCACATCATTGTTCTGTTGACAGCAATGAGCTGCAGCTCTAGAAAACGCCAAATTTAATATTGCTCTAAGTCATGCTTTTCCAATTTCCGAAATGTGACTTGAAACACAGGTTTAATAGAAAAATGATTTCAAACAAATGCCTGTTTTATAAAACAGGTTTTTATTTATGTAGCGCTGATGTATCACTGTTTTCTGAAACAACAGCAACGACGCCAAAGACGCTTAATAGGCTACTTGAGCCACAGTTGCCGTGATGCTGATTTGAGATTTTGTCAAAATTTGGAATTGTCCAAACCCAGAATTTTGAATGTTAATTTGGACGGGTCAATCATCTCAACTCTTGAAACAATGATAGATGTATGTCTGTATTCTGTCCATAATTCAATAATTCTAGTAAAATCTTTGGGCATTTGGTTTGAATTATTCCTCATGCATACAAATTCTGGGTATTATTAAATTCTAGCCACATTCATCTTAGAATCAATCTCCAACTCGATTCTAGGATTTGGAATAGTGAATTTTGGTAGGATGCTCAGAGTCTCAGTAGCCCAGATTATAGAGGATTTTTACATCATTGGATTTTAGAATGTTATCAAAACGTCCTTTTGTCTCCCTTTTATTTGGTTGATTGAATAGGAAGGCTCGTACTCTGCCATGGCCACTGATCTACCAGCTACCCATTTCGCTCCAAACAAATCAGTGCTTTCATATCATACGGACTCTACGTCAAGCTTGCTCTCATAGTTTCCAGTGCTTAGTTTGAATTCGATGGAACGAACATTTGGTACGGGTGCGGCCACGGGAGCCATAGAATGGATCGGTTTGGATTGGTTTTATGGTTTATAACCAATATTGTTTTGAAAACCAGTCAACGGTTGAATTATTGACCTGTGGCATTTGAGGTTTGCTTTGATTATTCTTCACCTATGGAAGAGACAGATGAATCCAGTCCTAGGTCTACTTTGAAAATGGACGCTTTTAAAAATTTAATTAACTTTGGTTTCCAGCACCTATTGCACCTAATTATTTTAATCTCAATTTAATAGTAGCGGAGGGCTCTACGTTGCAGGGGCTTACAAAAGATAAATTATTGTATAGGAAAAAATGAATTTGTAAAAGGTAAATTTTTTAATTAATAGCTTTTAAGAAAAAAGAATTTACTTAAAATAAGTAAAAATTTATGAATAATAATATATTTAATTTAATAAAATAAAACAATAAATAAATAAATAAAATTTTTAATTTTAAAGTTAACTTAATATAAATAAATCAATTTTGTTGTTAAATAAAAAAAATATAAATCTTTTTTTTCTCAATTTTCTGGTTGGGCTTTGGGCTTTTATATGGGGGTCGAGTTTGGGCTCAAGATCAAGGCTGGATGGTCCAATAATGCTCAGGCTTGGGCCTGAATATGTTTCGTTGATATAAAGGCAAAATCTAGTGCGGCCTATGAATAGGT